GTAATACCGAGGTGCCCTGTTCCCTGTTTTTCCCTACCTCATCAAGTCTCTTCCCTCTTCCTAGGGAAAGACTTCCAAGAAAGATCCCAGTTTCGTATCTTAGCAATTCTCCCATTTGGACAAGTAGTTCTCTTAGTGTCTGACTTTAGCCTTTCATGCTGCAGTTAAACGTAGTGGTCTTATTTTTTTAAGCCTTTGGAGGACACAGAATGTCAGCTCTGTGCCTCCCTGTTAGCTACCTCCACGGACTCAGAACTCCACGTAAGCTTCTCCCATCAGGCTCTTCCTCCTCAAATTACTGAGCCGTCAGTTCTGGACTTTGCCGTTTATCCGGGGCACCTTGTTTGTGCCAGGTCTCCGCTGGGGTGTGCCCAGGGGATTGCTAACTAGTCTTATTAATGTCAGCCGTGTAGAAGCACGAAGACAAGTCCAGTGCCCTGAATCTCACAATACATCATGGAGCTTAAGTAGAATCCGTACGTACCCGTCATTCTGGATCACCTCTCCTATTTTCCTCATTGGCACAAAACTGCTTCTCCGTCAGGTTTCTTCCTCTTAACTGTTCCATCTATGCCTTCCTCTTGCTAAATCTTTTGATGCAACCCTTTATACTTGGCTAATTGATCTATTCCCCTATGAAGTCCTGAAAAGTAGAGGAAGGTGCTATGCAGCCAACCCCAGAGCGAGCAGGACATGAGGGGGGGCCCGACCTGGGATAGTAATGATGTCACTGCGGTTCAGCCAGGGGCAACGGGGAGCAGGTGCTGCCTTCCTGAGCCTGGGGTGGCCTGGCCCTGAGGGCACCTCTGGCCAGAGGGGAGAGCAGTTGAATGCTTAGTTAGAGCCCTCGCTCAGGGCTTCTTGCTCACCCACATCTATCCTCCTCTCCCAACCCAACCCACCTCCTGACAGAAGAGGGAAAGGGGCGGAGGTTAGTTGAGGGGGTGTCCCTGATGACCGCAGGACCGGGTCTAGTGCAGTGATTCATTTCATCCTGGTATGTTGGCCTTGAAAGCCCCGGGAGACTCCCCTGGGTGAGGGAGAAACCAGGGAAGGGCCTGTGCTTAGGCTGCAGAATAAGCTGAAAGCCCTGGAAGCACCACCCTGCAGATTCCCCACCTGAGGCAAGTAGAACTCTACTTTTTTCTTAAGGGAGTAAAGCCCCCAAATGCTGTCCAGTGACTTGACATCCACCATTTCCACAACTTGTGCTGGGGAGACCCTGTCATGCCTGCCAGCATCCTAGTTGTGTCTTCCAGAGGGACCGTTTTCCCTGGCTCCATGGGGTTCATGACAGGCACGAGTGGTTGCCTTGCTGACTCACTCTGGCCTCTTTCCAGGCATCTCACTTTTTCTGGGCACTGTGGGCCCTCATCCAGAACCAGTTCTCCACCATCGAGTTTGATTTCCTCAGGTGAGTGCAGGGGACAAGTTGGGGTGGTGGGAAGTGGGCAAAGCTCAGCTCAGAGAGAATATCCAAAGTCCCTTCTTCTGCTCTGCTGACTTGTCCCCATTCCAGCCACCCCATATCCAGTGGGGTCACCACTCTAGGGGAAGCACATGCTTCTGGGGGGGAAGCACCGGCGAGGCTCTGGATGGTACTCAGAAGTTCTTGAGTAGATGTGTTTTCCATACTGCACCGATGACCTACTCCACTGCCCCTGCTCTGCTGCCAATGCTCTTAGCCATGGGGCCTGGTGGCGAATGGAAATGCTCATTTTATAGCAGAGGGGACAGAGTCCCAGAGAGTGGAAGTGACTCACTGAGGTCACTCAGGCGGCTTAGCACTTACTGTGTGGGGGTATTGGACCCAGCTCCTCCTTCGGTGAGGTACCAGGGCCTATACCGAGACCATGCTTGAGTATCGGCTGCTGGCTCCATCATGTGTGTCCTTAAGAACTAGGGATAGTTTTGTCCTCCACTCTGGTCTAGTCTTGCCTTTTCCTCCCCACCCACTCTCGGCTGGAAAGGAATCAGTACTCTGGCTTCCAAGTGTTCACAGTGATTGGAGAAAGGCAAGTCAAAGGCACAGTGAGATCTCACCTCACACCCAGGATGGCTATTATCAAATAAACAGAAAACAAGCTTTGGGGAGGATGTAGAAAATTGGAACCCTTGGGCACTGCCGGTGGGAACATAAAATGGTCGTAGCTCCTGGGGGAAAACAATACTGTGCTCCCTCCCGAAAGTCAAAAATAGAATTCCTGGGCGATCCAGCATTCTTACTGCTGGGTGTCGCCAGAATCGAAAGCAGGGTGTAGAGAGAGATTTGCACGCCCATGTTGGTAGCATCTTTTACAACAGCCAAGGAGTGAAGACAATCCAATGTCTATGGACGGCTGAATGGGCAAACAGAATGTGGTCTACACATACGATGGAATATTAGCCTTTTAAAGGGAGAAGATCCTGTCCCATTACAGCACGTGAACTCTGCCGACATGCGGGGTGAGATAAGCCAGTCACAAAAAGACCAATGCTTAGGATCCTACTTACATAACTGAATTAGTCAAGTTCGTAGAAACAGGGGAGGGGGGTGACCTGGCTGGCCCAGTCAGTGGAGCACGGACCTGTTGACCTCAGGATCATGAGTTCGAGCCCCACGTTTGGGTGTTTACTTAAAAAAATAAACAGTAGTTTTTGCCAAGCACTGGGGGGAGGGAGATAGGGAAAGTTGCTCTTTAATGGGTACAGTTTGTTTTGCGAATTGAAAAAAAATCTTAGAGATCTGTTGTATAACAATATAAATGTACTTAACACTGCTGAACTGTTAAAAAAAAAAAAAATGGGGGGGGGGGAGGGCTGCTCCAGTCTAAGAAGAAAAATAAAATAACTGAAGTAAAAAAACAAACATCCACCTGCCCTGGGGTTGAGCTGGTGAGTCTTCCTCATGGTGCGAGTTCCCCCAGTAGGACCCACCTGGCTTTCCTTCTCACCTGGGCTCCCACCTTTCTGGTCTTCTGGCAGGTATGCAGTGATCCGATTCCACCAGTACTTCAAGGTGAAGCCTCAGGTGTCCGCCTTGGAGATGCCAAAGTGACCAGCTTCCCCATCTCTCCCTTACCCATCTGCCTGGCCAGACCTGTTCTCCAGGGCTCGGTTCTGCTCTGGGGTCCACACTCTTGGACAAGGTGGGAGAGGGGACAGGTGGGTGTCCAAGGAGAAGGCTCTACCCCTGCCACCAGCCCCGAGCAGATGCTGCTGGAGACCACATTCTTTTGTTTGGAGGGACCCAGCTCTGGGGGTGCCCCTCACCTTGCCAGACTTGAGGGGGGGTGGTAGGGGGTGGGGATGGGGAAGTGCCTGTAGTCAGCCAGAGCCTGGACCACACCACCCCTGGGAAGCCCAGTATTCCTGGCCTCAGGCCATGCTGGAATCTGGGCGGCCTTAGATGTGTCTTTGACCTTCCTGGCTTTGGGGAAAGGGGGAGGTGGGAGGGCTCCTTTCTACCTCCAGTGCCCTGAGCCTCCAGCCCATCTCCCCCTGCATGCCCCACGTGGGAGGTGCTGATGAACCCAAACCAGCATCATACCAACTGACAGATGGATGTACATATCTTGGGGGGATGGTCTAGAACTGGGTTCAACGGCTCCCCCCCAAAGCCACCTCATCTGAGATCCCTCCCTTTCTCCAAGCCAGATCCAGTCCAACAACCCCTTCCCAAACCTCAGCCCAAAGACCTCTGCCCTCCCCTCCCATCCATGCCCTTTTTGCTCTGTGCTTGTGTTCAGTCTTTCTGCCACTTGCTGGGAGGGAAGGCAAGGGAATGGTGATGTCCTGGGCCTCCGGAGGGGGAAGCTCTGCTTCATGCTCGGCCAGAGGGCGATGTAGCCAAGAGCGAGGTGGCCAACAGCTACCAGCAGCTTCCTGCCTTGTTCCCTCCTGTGCCCTCCAGGCCCTCATTCCAAGGATTCGTCTCTCCCTCTCCACCTTCTGTCCTGAAGCTGACCCAAGAACTTCCCACTAGGAAATGCGTAGTGGGAGTCCAGGGGCAGGGACTAGGGTCCTCTGGGGCTTGCCCGGCCTACGAGAGCCTGGGTAGGATTGGTCGTGAAGGTGCTGAGCTCACGGCCCCAGACTCAACGGCCTCCACCTCCTTTCTGCCCTTACAGCCTCCTGGCTCTGGCCCAAAAAGTGATCCATTTGTAAATTATCATGGTTTTCTGCATTAAAATGGCCATTTCTGGACCACTCTGTGTGTGAGTGCCTATGGTGAGGACTTGACATAGCAGATATGATTGATTAGTTTTCCCGTGGGGTGGGGGGAGGGGCGCTACAACTCTTCTCTAGGCTCCGGGGGCTGCACACTTCCTCCCACGCCCTCTGTGCACCTGCCTCACGGGGCCTGCGGCTTCTGGTTTGGGATAGGCTTGGGCAGGGCTAGCGCTTTCAGCCTCTCTGCCTTTGACCATCTTCCCAGAAGATGAGCCCAAGAGCGTGTGCTACCAGGGAAGGGAGCTAGGCTGTGGCCTGGCCGGGTGGGAAGCACTCAGGACTTCCTCCTGGGCCGGCTCTGGCTACTAGCTGTTGAGGGGGACGGGGTGCTGCTCCGCTGGGGAGCAGTCAAGGAGGACTTCTGCAGCCCGTCTTTCTCAGAAGGTCAGAGGGAAGGGAGAGCCAGGGGTACCCCCTCAGCAGCCCGGGCAGTATAGCTCCGCTGCCTCCAGGGCCCCCCGGGAGGGACCCAGTGCCCGGCAGAGCGGGGAGAGCAGTGGCTGCCTGCCAGGTAGACTCCGGCTGTTTGGCTTTTGCCGGCAAAAGTACCGGCTGCCATGGCAACCGCTGGAGCAGCCGCTGGGGCCTTCAAGGTCACAGTGATCCAGTGTGGCCAGGCCCCCAGGGGTAGCAGCACCAGGCCCAGGAAGAGTAGGTGGGGAGGACGTGCGGGAAAGGTGGGCCCTGGCCTACCTGGGGCCGGGCAGGTAGGGCCCCCGAGGGGTACCGTGGGGTCAGGTGCTCGTCAACTAAAGGGCAGTGCCCACCCTCCTTGTTCCTCTCAGATCCACCTCTGGAGCTGAGGGCAGAAATAACCACTGTGAAGGCAACTTCGTTTCCAGCCTCCTGGGGCCTTGATGTCACAGCGTTGGAGACGGTGTTGCAGTGGTGAGCAGGGAATGGCTGGGACAGGGCCCCCCAGGTACCATCCTGTGCCCCTACGGCCCCAGCCACCACCTGCACCAAGGGAGTGAACCTGCAGGCACCATCCCACTGCCTTTGAGAAAACACACTCGTTCCTCCAGTGCTCTGGGTGGGGGGTGGGGTAGTGAGGGGAGCATGGGGGGAGGATAGCTTAGGCCACCCCTCCCCCTCGAAGCCTGGAGTCCCGTCTGTCCTTTCACTGCCACCCCAGACTAGCCAGCACCCCTGCCCCCTGGCTTCCAGCACCAGGGCTTGGGGACTCCTGGGGGTGGGGCGGGCCCAGGCTCCTCTTTCTCAGACCTTCGCTGGACACGTAACAGGAGCTCCGGGCAAAGCACACCAGGGCAGAGGTTCATCTCTGCTGGGCTCTGACCCTCGGCCTTTGCAGGAGGCACAGAGAGGGCAGAGAATGCCCCAGCCTTCCTGGTAATGACCAGGACCTTGTGTTCCTGGCCTCACTGCCCACGTGACCCTATCCTGCCTCTCCCAGGGCAGGGCAGGCCAAGGGCTCCTGGATTAGGAGGAGGACAGTACTGGCCTCAGGCTCGCTCCCCTGAGGCCACAGAGGACTGGGGCACAAGGAAGTAAGAGGAACTCAGGACTGGCAGGAGCGGAGGAGGATGGCTGGAAGGGTCCTGACGGCCTGGCCTGATTTGGTTAGGAACGCAGTGCAGGAGGTGGGGAGTCCCCACCGTCGGGGAGACGGACAGGGCAGGTTAAGACAGCAATTCGCCCCCGACCACTAGACGGTGGGCGCCACAGGCAGCCTCGCTGCTCTTCCCAAGGACCACCTGTGTCTTTCCCTGGGATGTGTTTGTACCCACTGGAAATGGGGTGGGGAGGACAAGATGAGGAGGCCCAAAGCTCTGGGAGGGCAGGCTGGGAAAAACCAGCAAAGGCCAGCAGCCAGGATGCTCCCCAGCTCAAAAGGCCAGGACCTAATTCCTGGGGGAGTCTTCACCCAAGTTAGAGGCCCTGCCACGAACCACACCTAACTCCCTTCTCTTACCACCACCTTTCTCCCACCTCCTTGGCTGTGGACACAGGACCTCTATTAATCCGATCCAAGGCTCAGCCTTCCACTAGAATTACCCTTCAGCTTTGCTGCCCCATTCCATACAATGGGATTTTTTTTTTTTTTATAAGAGTTGGTCTTTTTATTGATCACTGTTAACAAGCACTTTGAGAGTTTTAGTTTGTCATCAGCCCTTTTAAGTCTAACGGGGTGTTACTTCTCTAAGTGTGTGTTAGGTGTTGGAAATCCCCATTCAAACCAAAGGTCACAGAGCCCTGAAGCACATCCTTAGCGACCTTGCTTCCTCACTCATCCCGGAGGGCTCCTAAACGGGCTCTGGGCATCCTGGGAAGAGGCCCACAGTTCTCATTAGATTTTCACTGGGCTCCTTCTCCTAAAGCAGATGAGGACTATGGATAAGACTTAAGCTCGGTGTTTTCAGATGATGAAGCCCAGAGGGGGGCTCTGACTCAGCCCCAGCCAAGGCCACGGGGCTAGTTCTGGCATCCTGACTGCTTACTGCTCTCACTGCTGCCCTCTTCCTTAGGACTTGGGTAGACAATGTGTGGTGAGGTCAAGCTTATCTCCTGGAGGCAGGGGCAGTGTCGTCTTCAGGGGGAAGGCTCTCTGGGTGGCACCTGTCTCCCCAAAGGCTCGGCCTGGGGCCTGGGGCCTGCGCCCCTCTAGCCGCAGAGATTGCCTCCCAGATCCCCTGCCCGAAGCTCCCCAGAGTTGCCACAAGAGGTCAGTGGTGCCTGCGCTGGCGACACATTTTGAAATTCTGGCCTTAGGCCAGCCTCCTTGCTTCGTGCTGCCTCCCCCCCCCCTCCCCTCGAGGACCAGATTCTGAAATGGTCTGTCTTTATTATGCCAACAGGAAACAAAAAAATTCCCCAAGTGTAAACAGGAGAAAGGTGCTGGTTAAGTTACTCATCATTATCTTATTATTAACAAAATAAAGCACTATCTATGTTTACAGTCATAAAAAAAAACAGCCTGGAGAGAAGTTGGGGTTGAGGGAATGGGGGGGGGGGGACAGAGGAAGGAGAGAAGATTTGGGGGGGGGTAGGCACGGATGCCACATCTGCCCCTGTGGGGTTTGCAAGGGCTGTTCTGGATCTTTGGAGTCAGGTGCCAGTGGGATTTCTTAGGGAAATAACTTGTCCATGGGAGCAGGAGCTGAGACAGATTCCCCGGGGTGAGTGTGGGGTGGAGGTGGGGGGAAGCCCTGGCTCTCCAGGGCTTCTGTCACTGCCCGGAAGGCAGGCACCATCAATCCTCCTGTCCCCAGCTCCTGGCACACAGGTTGGGCCCAGGGCCTGGGGCCCAAGACAGAGCCCCTAGGAAGCTGAGCACATTCCATATTGCTCAGAGCTAAAAGTGGCTCTATGGGAACAGACCGACAGGGGAGAGAGCATCAGGGAGGGAGTAAAGGAATGGGCAGGGGAGGTCAGGGCAGCTGGTGGGCGCAGGGGCCTTCTAGAAACTCAGATGGTCCAGCGGTGTCCAAAGGGCAGAGGCAGACACCGAAAAAGGGCGATAGAAGAACACCCCCACAGAGAAACAAGGACAGAAACACACGAGGACACACGGAACCTGAGACACCCAGACTGACAGAGGTAGCAATTTGGGACAATGAAGCACTGAACGAGGCCCCCAGAGAAGCAAGAGTGGCCTCAAGAGACACACCCATGGGAACGTAGCAACAGTGCCTGGCACACAGCAGGCGCTCAATAAATATCTTGTGCAACGAATGAACAGATGGGAACACACGTGTGCATGTGCGTACACATACCTGTACACGTGCACACACCTACACACAGCAGCCAGAGGCACAGCAGGCTTGGCAGAAGATGAGGACAGCGAGGGACAGCCAGACCGTTCTGCACAAAGTACAAGGTGATCCTGTGATAGAGGAGCGACCTGGGAGGGGGGTGGGCGTTGGTCCTACAGAGGCTGGTCCAGCCAGGACAAGAATGAAAACAAAGCGTGTAGCCCCAGGGGGGCAGGTCTGGAGCTGCCACATCCCTGGGGTGAGCAGACCTGCAGGAGGGGAAGGTCACACAGTGTCTGCTGGCCATGAGGCCCAAGGGCCAAGGCGCTCAGCCCCGACCGCTCTGCAAGTCCTGCCCAGCTAGGCCCGCAGCTCCCTGGGGGTGGCCACAGGGCTGGGGGGCATCTCCCCTCAGGAGGGTATCTACAAGTACACAGCTGTGCCCCTCTCCCGGGCATGCCCAAGTCCAAGTACCAACATAGTCCAGGCCGGCTGGCTGCGCCCATCGGCTCAGGGCCGGGTCTTCCCGGGAAGGAGGCTGGGCCCACCCAGCTAGGCTCAGTCTGTGAGCACCACCAGCTCCCCGTCGCTCTTCTCCTCGCCCTCTGAGTCCTCGTCCTCGCTGTAGCGGTACAGCTCGCCCTCCGCCACCGAGTGCCTATCTTCTGTGGCCTCCCCCTCCTCCCTGAGGCTACAAGTGTTGACGATGACAGGCATGTTGGGGTCCAGGCTCCGGGGCACGTAGTGCTCCACCAGGGGCTGGGCCAGGGGCATGCCTGCCACCCGAGGGTACAGGACGTCAGAGGAGCTCATTTGCAGCTGGCCAGCCTGTGGGCTATGGGGCAGAGAAGAGGCACAGAGTTACAGATGGACCGTCACTCTGCACCCCAGTATAGCTTCCTCTGCCCACCCCACCTCCAAGCCACTTTCGGGCGTGCTCCCCCGTGCCACCACAACACTTTTGGCTCTGGGGCACAAACACTGTCCCCTCCCTGGCCTGCCTGCTGATGGCCACATTCCTTGTCCGCTGGCTCTGCACAACACGTGGGCCATGTGTGTGTTCAACAGATATTCCTGGAGGATCATGTGTGAGTCCAGAGTTTGGAAGTTACCTGATTGATTTAAATGGCCCAGGGGCTTTCCTGTTTAAAAGAATCCACCAGGGGATGCCTGGGTGGCTCCGCGGTTTGGCCCCTGCCTTTGGCCCAGGACGTGATCCCGGGATTGAGTCCCGCGTCAGGCTCCCTATATGGGGCCTGCTTCTCCCTGTGCCTGTGTCTCTGCTTCTCTCTCTCTGTCTCTCATGAATAAATAAATAAAATCTTAAAAAAAAAAAAAAAATAAAAGAACCCACCAGGTCAAGCCAGGAATCCCCCCCCTATAATAGGCACCTTCATTTTTAGGTGGCCCTGAACGCCCACACGCGTACGTGCTCCCAGCCAACAGACGGCACCCCCGAGGCGCACACACAGGTTCACCATGCACAGCAGCCTCCCCCCCCCCAAGAGCTACGTGAGCAGCACAGTTCACACACACGGTCTCAGCCGCCTCAGGAGGCCCTACTCACGGGGTCACATAGCTCTGGCGGGCATCCTGGCGCCGGGTCCTCATCAGGGCTTTGTACTCGCCCACCCGCAGCCGCTTGCCTTCCACAATGCAGGTGCGCTTGGGCCTCGGCTTGTACTTATAGTCGGGATACTTCTCCAGATGCTGCCGGCTCAGCCTCGCCTGCTCCTCGTAGTAGGGCTGCTTCTCCTGGTTGGTCATGGACTTCCAGCGGGAGCCTGGCCCAACCCCCAGGGGCAGGCATTCAGTGCCAGGCTCTGCCAACCCCGCCCCCAGCCCCCAGCCCCCTGCAGGCCCCAAGATTTTGATCCCCAGGTGAGTCAACAAGGTGGTACATGCGCAAGATGTAGTGAGGACCTGACCCAAACTGGGTGCCCTTTGGATGTCAGCTAAGCAAATGGATGAATGAAGCTGGCACGTATCTGGGCGTCTATACAAAGAGCAACCAAATCCCAAACTACCCAGCAACTTCTGAAAGGCCTCTGGTCAGCATGATTTGCATAAACAAAAGAACAGTCAACCCCAGGCCCCCAACAACAGACAGGTCCCCCTACTTGGGGCAAAATACCTTGTCAACTGAGACCATTGACAAGACACAGAGGGTCCTCAGTCTAAGGACAACTGCCAACTTCTAGCCACACCGGGCTGCCCTATGTCCCTCCTTGGCCTTCAATCAGGACCTATGATTTATTTAAAAAAAAAAACAAAAACAAAAACAAAAAACAAAAACAAAAAAAAAAACTTTCTAAAAAAACAAAACAAAAAACCTTTCTACTGGGGCAATGGCTGGCGCAGTCAGAAGAGCATCTGACTCTTGGTTGGGAGTCTGAGCCCTATGTCGGGTATAGAGATTAAATAAAATTTATATAAACTTTCCAATGATAGCTGAAGAACAATTTTTCCTGTTTCCTGCCAGAGCCAGAGTTCCAAGGATCTGGGCAAACAGTGGAATAGGTCAGGGACTAAAGAATGTGTGCTCACACCTGTACACATGCACACACCCACATCCCTGAGTTCTCGGGTGCAGGTGTGAAGAGCCCTACAACAATCCAAGACCCCAGAACCTCGCCTGCACACATCCTACCTGACCCGCACCCTACCAGACTCCTCTGAAGCTCGGGATGCTGGGGGCTGTCACCCAGCAAGGAGGCAGCTATCTCCTGCAACCAGGTCCTCCTAGCATGGCTCCTGGAGCCCTGAAAGCCCCCCGGAGACCCCACCCACTGGCCCTTACCAAGGATCTTGCTGATGCTAGAGTTGTGCATGTCTGGGAAAGCCTGGAGGATCTTCCTTCGCTCGTCCTTGGCCCACACCATGAAGGCATTCATGGGCCTCTTGATGTGGCTGCTGTTGCGGGACTCAGGAAAGTGGCGGGAGCCTGGGGGACAAGGGTGGGGTCAGGAAGGAGAGGCCTCCAGGGCTGACAGTTCATCCCCTACTTGACCACGAGGGTGCGATGGCGAGAGGCACCCACAGCCGCATGGACACCATCAGGAGCCCTCAGCAGAGGCCCAGCCCAGGACCCAGAGACAGACACATCTGGGAGAGACACAAGCTGACCCACCCTGGCCCCCTGTGGGAGGCAGAGGCGGGCCCCTCTGCCCACCAGCCCAGCACCCAGGGCGCTCACCATCCATGTCGCAGCCCAACATGGCTTCTTCGAGGGGATGCACACAACCCTCCTCCAGCCGCTCCTTGGCCGGGGACGTGTCCAGGCTGATGAGGTCCTGGGGTTGAGGGAGGAAATCTGTAGTCGGCTCCTCTGCTCTGCAACGCCCCATTCCCCTCCCTCGCCCCTCCCTCTGCTGGCCTCAGACGGAGTCTTCCACCCCAGCTGCCCCAGCGGTTCCCTGTGCCCCGGTGCAGGGGAGTGGGGGCCGTACCTTGCGGAAGGGGGCGTTGGGGGAGCTCTCTAAGGCGCCGCCGTGGCCATGCAGCAGCTGCCGAGCATCTTGAATTGCTTTGGTGACAGCATCCCCTTCACCAAGGAAGCCTATGGGAGAAGGGGGGGCAGGGGTAGCAGAGGGGGTCAATCCGGTTCACACCAAGCCACCCCCTGAGAGTCCTTCACCTGGGTTGGCTTCCCCTCCCGCCGCTCCCGGCGGCTGCGTGGCACATCCCCAAGGGGCCGCTGTTCGCCTTGGCGTCACTCAGTGGCCAACAGACTAGAATGGAGGATGGGCTCCCTGAAGCGGCAGGGTCCCTGATGTGGGGTGCCGTCAGGTCTGGTCAGGGGAGAGGAGGGAGGGGAATATCCTGAGACTCTAAGTGTGGAAACTCAAAGAGGCCAGAGACAGCGGGTCTCAGCCCTTGTCTTACAGAACCGTAAACCCACGGAAGGGAAAGACATGCTGAACATCCTAGGATGCCCTCGTGGCAGAAAGCTTACCTAGGGGCAGGCTGGGCGGGCTGGCCTGCAGGTCCCGCGTGGGGGCCCCGTGGCTGGGGGGGCGGGTTCCACAGTTATTCATCTTCAGGCTGGGGGAGCTGGAGGCATTGGGCAGCTCCGGGGCCTTGGGCTTGGCCGTGAGGTTCAGAGGCTGGGAGGGCTCCTGAGGGAGACCCAGAGATCAGAGGCCAAGAGACAGACACCAAAGGTGACGCCTCCCCCCCCCCCCCACGGAGGGACAGAGGGGACCCGTGGTAACAGAGAGGAAGACAAACCTACTGGGAACAGATGAGGAGACAGCAGGGACAGGTGGACCAGAACAGGGGTCCCACCACCCCCTGGACTGGCAGCCCCAGGCCGGCAGGCGGGGCAGTACCTGCAGAGGGGGGTGTGCAGCCATGGCCCCGGGCCTCTTCACCACAGGGGCAGGGGGGCTGTGCAGCAGCGGCAGGGGGTACTCCACTATGGAAAAGGCAGCAAGGAGAAAAGTCCTGGATGAGCACAGAACAGCAGACAGCCTGCTTGATGACGTCCCAGCAGCACCAGGGGACAGGGGCTCCCAGCTGGCCAGGTTTGCTTCCAGCCAAGGCTTTCCCTGGCCCTAGAGTGCTGAAGGCCTCCAGTGGCCTCATCCCCTGCTGCCCTGCCCAGCGATCCGCAGCTTCTCCTCCCTTCACTGCCCTTCCCAACCCACTGAGCCACACACAGGTTCCGACCAAACGGTGAAATGAGACTGTTACCATCTGCTCACTCTACTCAGACTTATGTGTCGTACCTACCACGTGCGGGGTACAAAAGCTGCTCCCCATGGGGATCCCTGGGTGGCGCAGCGGTTTGGCGCCTGCCTTTGGCCCAGGGCGCGATCCTGGAGACCCGGGATCGAATCCCACGTCGGGCTCCCGGTGCATGGAGCCTGCTTCTCCCTCTGCCTGTGTCTCTGCCTCTCTCTCTCTCTCTCTCTCTCTGTGTGACTATCGTAAATAAAGTAAAATTTAAAAAAAAAAAAAGCTGCTCCCCATGTATTGGCCTGTCTCATGCAGTATCTCCCTAGTGTGTGGCACAGACCAGGTGCTCAGTACAGCATCCCATTTTACAGAGAAACTGAGACCGGGAGATGAAAAATGGGTTGCCCACATAGCTCAGAAATGGGAACACGGACATGTGAACCCAAGTCTCTAGACTCCATAGTCCATCCTTTCCTCTTTACCTGGCACCCTTTCCATTCTACCTGGCCTAGCCCACTCACCTGCAACCCAGCCCAGCATCAAAGAGTGGGCAGTTCAGGTGGAGAGATAAGCCGTAGATACAAATCACTGACCACGTGGCCGGTAGTGACACAGGCCGCATGGGTAGCACACCAGAGAACTCTGTTCCAGGTGGCATGGCTGGAGCAGGGTTCTTGGGGGGAGCGGTGAGAGGTGGGCTAGTGGCTGCAGGCGGGAAGGTGGAGGGGAAGCAGCAGGTGAGAGCCGAGGTGTGGGAAGGGAGCCCAGCCTGTGATGGGCAACCCTGGGATCTTGTGGACTTCACGCTGTAGGCAACAGGGCACGTCCGGGGCTCATGAACTAAGGAAAGGCATCATGCACTCAGCTTGGGGAAGGGTCACCTGGAAGCCCACGGGCACCCTGCTTATTAGGATTCTGGAGCCCACAAACCAGGTGGCAGTCTGGCCAGTTCAGGGCTTCCCACAGTTCACTTCCTGCCTCCCTTGTCCAGAAAGCATGGGGTCAGATGTACTCCAACCCCCCCAGGCCCTGCCCTCCTCACTCTGGCAGCTCTAGTCACCTGGAGTTGCGATGGGTTTGTGCTGCTGGCCTGCTCGCCCTACCTCCTCCGTTGGAAACTTCCTCGAGGGTAGAGCCTCACTGTGTCAGTCCTTTGTGGACTCCTCGTGGAGTCCCCACCCCAGAGCGCCCGGCGTAGACACAGGCAGGGAGAGAGTCGGTGCTGCTGACCCCCGGAACTGTGCCCGGAGCCCACAGGCCTTGGCGCCAGGCCCACAGGAGCTCATCTGCCTGCTCCCGCGCACCACACAGGAGGGGCAGACCAGAGGGGCCCCACCTAAAAGCAGCTCCAGTCCCTGGGGCAACCATGGGCAATATCCCTGCCCTGTCCCATGACCTTTCACAAGGAACCCATGATTGTGGCCTGCGAATCCCATCTCTGCCTCTGTCCCATCACCTCTGCCCACGCGCTGGCCAGTACCCTCCCCACCGACCCTCTCTGTTCCCAACCACCCAGTCGTTATGACAACACACCCTCCGTTCATTCATGCGAGCATGCCTGCGTCCTACAAAACAAATTCCTTCGCCACCCTGTCCCATCACCCCCCCATCAAGCTCTCCCCTCAATTCCAAAACCCTACAGCTTCTGGCCTCAGGCTTCCGGGCCTCTGACTCCATTGCCCCCCAACCCCCAGCTCCCAGCTTCACTCCTGCAGTCCACTTTCTGGGACCCGACTCATTTCTGACCTCCTCAGAAAGCCTTCCCAGGTTCCCTAGTTAATGTCATCCTGTCTCCCTCCCCAGACCGTAAATTCCTTGGAGCTCAAAGTTCATGTTTATCTCCCCCTGCTCCCCGCTCCCCGCTCCCCACCCCCGTGGCCACCTGACAACACAGCCTCTGAAAGGTGGCTGGTGCTCAGTCTGTGTTCACTGAATTTCAGTGGCAGGGCAGAATGGGCACGGCTGGGGTAGGACAGAGTGTGAGTTTGGGAAATGCATCAAACCTCAGCTAATGTCCAAGATCTGACTTTTCTGGTCCAGCAAAGGTACCAGAGCTGGGACACTGGATCCGGATCGGCCATATCCACTTACATCTGGAAAGAGTACTTGATGGTTTTCAAGTGCCTTTGCTTTTCATTCTCCCAGTGAAGTTCAGAAAAAAGGGTTCCTTCTTCCACTGGACAGATCCAAAAGCAAGGGCCAGAAAGGCCACATGGCAAAAGACTGCGTGAGCGTGTCCCAGGCTCCTTCCTGGGCCTCAGAACAGCCTCAGCTTGTGGCTGCGCCCCCAACCCACACTCACCTGGTTTACAGGGGATGGGCTGGATAGGCAAGGCCAGCTGGGAATCAGGGGTGACAGGCAGAGGCTGGTGGCTCGGAGGGAAGGCTGGGATCATGACATAAGGCATGTTGACCTGCTAAGAGCAGAGAAACCCTGTGTGAGTCCCTGGGGACCCACACAGCACGGACCCAGACACGAAGGAACAGACACCGGCGTGAGGCTACTCTTTGAGAGGCTCCATCTGACCCCACATCACCTGCCTCTCCTTGCTCTCAGCCCCAGCTGGGGGTGAAGATACTCTGGAAGATGGAGGTACAAGGGTCAAGCAGGAATGAGTCATCCCCCCCACCCCCCTCCCCCCACCCCCCACCTCAGGGCCACGGCCAAGTGATTCTGCTTAATCTGCATCCATCCCTCCCTTTCCCTGGCATGTCCAGGCTGGCATCACCTCCTCGGCCCCTGGCCACCCTCCTTTGTACCTGGATCTGCTGCTGGAGGAGGTTGATCTTATGTTGCTGCTGAATCAGCTGCTGTTGCTGTTTGGCGATCTGGCCGCAGGAAAAAGCAGGGGGGCATGGGCATTAGCCTGTGCGCAGCCCCCGCCACACCCTGCCCTCCCATCAGCGAACGCCGGCCTGGGCGCGGGGAGCAGCGGGACCGTCCACCCTCAGAACGCTCCCTCCCTTTCTTTGCAGGGGGCTCCGTCCTCCGTCAGAGGCCATGGCTGGAGTTAGTGCAGGAAGCCGCCCGCTGCTCTCACGCAGAGCCCAGCAGCCCCTCCATGACCTGGCCCCAGCCTCGGCCCACATAGCCAGGCCTGCCCCCTAAGCGCCGACGAGTCCCTCCTCCCAGGACGCTGGGCCTACCTGCTCCTGCTGCTGGCGGGCCAGCTCCATCTGCTGCTGCTGCTTCTCAAACAGCATGGCGGCCATGTTCTTCTGCTCTGAGTGCGCGGTCAGGAGCTGATCCCGCAGCGTGGACAGTTGGTGGATCATGACCAGGAGCTGGAGCTCCTTCTCTGCCAGGCTCTCCTGGGTCCCTGCTCCATGGTGAAACAGCCACTGGTGAGAATTGTTGGGTTTCTGCCCCTCCACCTACCCACCCACCCATCAGGTGTTTGCTGAACTGCTACTTCCCAGACACCCACCCCCTCACCCCGTTAGAGGCAGAGGGAACAGGGAGGGTGGAGACATGATCCTTGCCCTGGAGGGGGCCGGCTTGCTGTCTGACAAGTAGCTGCCCTAGAAGCTCTGCCCCAGCAGCCACCGCTTCCAGCCCCTGGAAATGCCAACCGTGTAACAGCTCAGTCTCGGGTGTCCTCAAGCGCCGCCCCGAGCTGCAGGGTCAGCATGGATAACCATCCCATAGAAGGGACCAGGAGCGAGACAGATCTGGGTTCAAATTCCCACTTCAGCCCATCCTCTCCGGGAGCTGTCAGATAAGTAACCGACTGCTCTGCACTTCGGGTTTTTTTTACTCTATAGATGAGCCTAAGAACGGTCGGTTCACAGGGGTGCTGTGAGGGTAAGATAATGGTAAAGTGGAGTCCAGGATCTGGCACATGGTCCTCACCCAGCAAGGGCCAGCACTTCCCTGCCCTCTAGCTGAGCTCATGTTGGATGCAACTGGGCCAGGCTGCAGACCACTTGCCTCAATCCCTCCAGGAGCCTTCAAAAAATACCCACACATAGGCCACCCCACCCCCCCCTACCCCGGAGTTCTCACTCAGCAGCTGGAGGGGAACCTGGGCACTGGCACAGTTTTAAAGCTCCCCTTGTGGGTGCGACCAACCACAATGGAAAAATGGGCACTCTCAGGAACCAGACAGCAGCCCTTAAATTCATTAGTGGGGTCCTGGTGGCCTAGAATTAATTTTCAGCACCAAAAGAGCACATCCAGCTCATTTGATATAGTTAGATCCAGTTAGATCTGGGAAGTGGCAGTGACAAGCCTGAGGTCTCAAGGGTCCCTGGGAAGAGTCCAAATCCATACTCATGGAACATGATTCTACCAGGTCTCCCCTGCATGAGAATGAGCCACACAGAATGCTCAGTTGCCAGGTGAGGGGTGGTACCGACCCCCAGGGCCGGGTGGAGCCAGAGGGGCACAGGCCAGGTAGAAGGGGACCAACAGCCTCCAAAATTGCCCTAGAGACCCAGACTGCATGGCCAGGCTGGGAGAAGGGAATGGGGTTCAGACATCCTATCCTCCCCTGCCTACCCACATGGGCCTTCACCTTTGACATCTTTGGCTTCCACAGAGCTCCTTCCCAGAAACCTCTCCTTCCAGTCACCGGACAGCAGCTTCTCGATGGCAGGCACAACTGGAAGATACCAAAGCGATGAAGGAGCAGCAGTCCCAGCACCTCCCGCCCTACACCCACCAGGGCAGACATCTTACGTTATTTTTAATTTTTTCCCCAAGATTTGAGAAGGAGTGGGGGAGAGAACAAGCACAAGCAGGGTGAGGGGCAGAGGGAGAGGGAGAAGCAGGCTCCCCACTGAGCAAGGAACCCGATGTGGGGCCTGATCCCACGACCCCCAAGATTATGACCTGAGCTGAAGGCAGGCGCTTAACTGACTGAGCCACCCAGACACCCCAAGACATCTTACCTTCTTTTAAATTTTGGTTGAAGTCTAGCTTCTCCTGGCTTCCAGAAGCAGCCTCAGAACCTCCTGGTCTCTTGGGTTCTGGGGACCCATTGCTCTCTGGGGAGCTGCAGTCCTATAACACACACCGGATGTCATTGTCACCCTCAAGAGAAGAGAGCAGACCACAGAGGAAAACGAGTAGCCTGGGGATGTGCACCAGGCGCCCCCCACACCCTCCAGGGTAGGGCCCTCCCTCCCCACCTTCCCAACTTTTGTTCTGACTTTGCTGGATATAGCAAAAGCACAAAAGGTTTGCAGACAAGAAACCTGGATTTCAGGCCTGGCTCAGTGACTCATGAGGCCCTTGATCACCTAAAAGACTCTGAACTTCTCTGAACCTGACTTACTTCCCTCTTCTGAAAAATGGAAATATCAATGCCTCTCCTGTCAGGATTGTTGCTGGGACCAAAGAAGTGAATGCACGTGAATGAGGTTCACTGCTGTAGGGTCAGGCGGCATGTGAGCTATTAACAATTACTCCCATGCACACAGCCACACGGGCAGCAAGTGGGTATGACACCTAGGACCCCCCCCCCACCTCACTGCTCTTTAGGACAACACCCACCCCTCCTCACCTGAGTCCTCTCCATTCTTTAAGACCTACCTTGAGGCCTTATCCTCCAGGAAGTCTTCCCCATCACTACCCCAAACCCCTAACACCTCCCACAGACCCTTCCAGGTCTCATTTTCATTCACTTGGCTTTTAATTACATAGTCCCCTTTTAACATCTCCTGCATGGAATCAGGGTTTTTAAGAACTACAAGAATCCTTATGGCTTGTGTCGTTCATTCAGAACTCCTTCACTTTAAGGGTGAGGGACTGCATGATCTTTAGCATCAATTGATCTCAGCCTCAGGTAACAAGGCTGATTTTCTCCAATCCTACAGGAGTTCAACTTTGAGCAGATGTGTCCTGCCTCTCCAGCTAGTCCTCTGAAGTAGGCCCGGTCACACATGGGTGAGCAGTTATCAGGCGAGCAAGCGCGGGAGTGAGACCATACAGTGCTCAGATAGTCGGCCTAAGGTCGGCAGCCCCGCCCCCAAGTCTTGCCCTAGAAACCAAGGTTTCTGCCTCCTGTCTGTCTGCCCAGCTAGGATCCTCAAGGAGAGGCTGGGGGATGGCATGTGGGTGTAGGCTATGGAGGCAAAGTGGGGACACTGACCCAGGAGCCCCGGGGAAAGTGCTGGGCACCTGGGCTGGAGCTTGGGGGTCAGCGCCATCCTGGGGAGCCCGGGCTGGGTCTCCGAGCTGGGATTCAGCTCCAGCGGCTGAGCCCTGGAGGGCCTCATGGCAGGGCTCCTTCTTCCCTTCTGACTTGACAGTGCAGTTCACCATGGTGCCAACGCCATCTGGGGCCAGCAGGGCAGAGCCAGGGCTCCTCATGGACATCCTGGGGGAGGAGGACGAGTAGAGTGAAACCGATGATGGACACAGCATCTCCACCCTCACAACAATGCAAACTTCCATTGGGAACCCACAGTGAAAAAAAAAAATCAGAAAAGATTCTTCTGTCCTGCATTCTTTTTTTTTTTTTTTTCTTAAGTAGGAAGGTCTAGGGGCTCCTGGGTGGCTCAGGCAGTTAAGCATCTGCCTTCAGCTCAGGTCATGATCCCAGGGTCCTAGAGTCCTGGGATCCAGCCCAGGGTCCAGCTCCTTGCTCAGCAGGGGGTTTGCTTCTCCCTTTGCCCCTCCCCACTGCTCATTCTCTCTCTCTCTCTCTCTCTCTCTCCCCGTCTCTCTCTCTCTAATAAATAAAATCTTAAATAAAGAGGAAGGTCCACAGCCAACTGGGCCCGACCTTCAGCAGGCCCTTCCTATTGCAATGTTAGGGCTGGTTGGCTGAATGGTCCACCCAAGGAGGGCAGAGATGGTCAACTGGCAGTTTCTGAGCCCAGTAAAGTCAAAATTATATATATTTGTAATTAGCTAACAAAATTTTAAAATCATGAGACATCTCATAATCTAATCTGGATTTGAACTTCTCTTGAGGTTGATCTGGGACAACTGGCTGGAATTAAGGAGCCGGGACTCCTTATGGACAGGCCAGTTTTCCTTAGTCCCTACCACTTCCTGCTGCCCCCCAGAGGGGGAATCAAGGGTCAACGACCCTGAATAGACATTTATTCTCTTGTTTTTCTCCTAGAGACAAGATAAAAGCAAATTGTTATTTATATCCCCTTATCTACCAGAAGTGGGAAAATAAATAACAGGCTGAGAGATGTAGGGCTTGAAGAAAAATATTTTCCTCTAGGTAGCTAGAATCTCTCATTTAGACTCTCTCTCTCATTGGCCCCTGTAGGCATCTGCAATCCCTAGGGGATGCAGACTCTGCACCCACTGTTCCCATCACTCCCCCGTCACCACTGCCCGGGACAGCTGGAGGAGCTGAGCGATTGAAGGATCCTGGAGACCGAGTGCTGATGGTCATGCCAGGCAGGCTCAAAGCCAAAGCAGCAAAGGCCCAGAGCTCACCTGCTCCCCATCCAAAGCCACTGTGACAAGACCAGTGGGGACACCCAGCAGTGGTTTTCTGGTATCTATAAGGTCCTGCACCCGCTACGTAACCTTGGGTGAGTTACTGAGCCTCTCCACACCTGTTTCCTCATCTGTAAAATGGGCATTCGTGAGGTCTAGGGATTGCTAAAATGGGTTTTCCACAGTGTGCGGCACTAGTACGCACTAGTTAAAGGTAAAGCACTGCTGGCTAAAATGCATTCCCTAAAAGGGACCCACAGTCTAAGCATGGGAGTCAGTCACGCGTCACCCTCACCTCAGATACTCTGTGGGTGGGGCAGGAATCTATTTTAACAAACCCCATAGGTAATTCTGACACACACTAGTTTGAGAAGCACTGATGAGTAAACATTTTGATATATCTGCACGGGCATTACATTTTTAAGAGGGAAATGTAAGGCCCAAAAATCAGATATAGAGTAAAACATCCCTTAAAACTGAATTGCAGGGCAGCCCCGGTGGCGCAGCGGTTTGGCGCCGCCTGCAGCCCAGGGCATGATCCTGGAGACCCTGGATCGAGTCCCACGTCGGGCTCCCTGCATGGAGCCTGCTTCTCCCTCTGCCTGTGTCTCTGCCTCTCTCTCTCTCTCTCTCTCTCTCTCTCTCTCATGAATAAATAAAATCTTAAAAAGAAAAACTGAACTGCAGGTATAATATTGTGTCAACTCTGTACAACAAAATGTTTCTCATGACCTAGGAGTGAGGCGACGTGTTCATGTCGAACTGAACGGACATTACAGTTGAATAAGGTGCATTGGATTCGATGCCACCTAGACCAGAGCAGACTTCTCCTGCCACTCTCAAAGGGCGGGGGACCCAGGGGTGGGGGGGAGCTGGCAGGGGACCCGGGACCGCGCATGGCAGGACAGACGCGACCCTGGATGGGCTGGCCCCAGGGCTCGGGGTCCAGCCCCCGGGTCCCCCATCACCGTGCAGGGGGCCTGGACCGTGTCCAGGAAGCCAGCGGCTGGGCCCATCCGGCACGGGGAGGCGCGGCCACGCAGGCCCCGGGCAGGAGGGGCAGGAGGGGCAGGAGGGGCAGGAGGGGCGCAGGGGGCGAGGGGCGGGGAGGGGGTATTATCCCGAAGCTGAGGGCAGCAATTACATAACAAACAAACCCGGGGCTCAAGCTGTGAATTAATCAAACCGCTGAAAATAAAACCTTCCTCTCAGGAACTTCAGACAAAAGAAATGAAAACAACCAGGCTGGCTGGAAAATAAAAGGCGGCTCGGCTGAAAAGGGGACAAAAGGAAACCAGACAATAGGGTGTTGGACAAAGGCAATAAAGCCAAAGGAAGTGTGACAGGCGAACAATGCGGGCCTGCGGCTCGGGATCCCCACCGCTCTGCGCCACCTCGTCCCACACCCACAGCTCCGCGGGCCCGGCCAGGCCACCAGGTCGCCTCTGCGCTGCCCACTCGGGTCGAGGGGCTTCTCACCTCCACCCCGGCCCCGGCTCCGACCGCCGAGCCTTTCTCCTGGGTTGGCGGAAGGGCCTCCCCAAGGGCCAGGCTGACCAGCTCGGCACCTGCACCCCTACCCCGGGGCTAAGGGTGAAGGCAGGGGCGATGCACAGCCTAAGTCACTCTGGGAGCTCACGGCCCACTCCGCCCGCGACCTCGCCAGGTCCCCCGCAAATGCAAGTATCCACGGCGCCGGGTTCCAAGGCTGAGGGTGAGCACCAGAACGTGACCTAGCTCGTTGATAAGTGCTTATGGATTAGATGCTGAAATGATGTTTCGGATGCAAGGAGTTAAATAAAATGCTGTTTTCACTGGTCTCTTTTTGCGCCTCTTAATCTGGTTACGGGAGAATTTAGCGTCACGCATGAGGCTCACGTTGTGTTTCTGTCGGAAAGGGCCGCGCTAGGGCATCTATCTCCCTTGGAGCTCCGACGGCCTTTACCCACACTTGACGCCCCAAGAGTGCCTCCAGCCGGGCACTGGGAATTACCTGTGTATATCGGGAAGCTTGCCTCCTGGGGCTCCCAATCATTCCTCCCAGCCCCTGGCACAGCCCCCGCGCACCCCCACCCCCGACAAAGCAAAGGACTCCTAGTGGCCAGCCAAGCTGGCCTGGAGGTGTCTGTGGCTTCACCAGGGCGTGCTGCCCACCGGACAACCCTGCCAGATCTTGCCCCTTCCATTTCCGCAGGCGTCTGCCTCTACTGTGGGCACTGGCTCTTGGTTGGTCCCTTAGGACCCCCTTGTTGATGGAGAAGCAACGGCCCGGACCTGGTGGGTTCCTCTCAGGTACCACGCAGTTTGCGGGGAGAGGGCCCTTGGGCACCTCCTTCCTTCCCTCTCGAGTTCTGGGAGCACAGCCTGCTCAAAGAGCAGGCCATTCCCCTGCCCACAGAGAGGAGAGTCCTCTGAAGAGGGTCCAGTGCCAAGCTCTGGACCCTAAGCGTCCGCTCTTTTTTCTCAGAGTGAAGAGCAAAAGCTGCATGTGATAATCTAAATGAGGACAGAAAGGAGAACCAGGTGGTGAGTATGGAGCTGACAGGTGGTCCCTGCACAGGCAGCTTCGCCTCTGCAGGCTCTTGTCTGTAAGACAAGGGTACCTGGGGGATGGGGGGTGGTCAACAGTACAGGCTTTCGGGTTCCTCAACCAGGTTTCAAATTCCTGCTCTGCCACCAGCTGACTCTTGTGGCCTTAGGCGAGTTAGTTAACTCAGCTTACTCCTCATTTGTACAATGGGTATAAGAATCCCTGCCTTGGGGATCCCTGGGTGGCTCAGCGGTCTGGCGCCTGCCCTTGGCCCAGGGCGCGATCCTGGAGTCCCGGGATCGAGTCCCGCCTCGGGCTCCCGGCCTGGAGCCTGCTTCTCCCTCCTCCTGTGTCTCTGCCTCTCTCTCTCTCTATGTCTACCATAAATAAATAAATAAATCTTTTTTAAAAATTTTTATTTATTTATGATAGTCACACACAGAGAGAGAGAGAGGCAGAGACACAGGCAGAGGGAGAAGCAGGCTCCACGCACCGGGAGCCCGACGTGGGATTCGATCCCGGGTCTCCAGGATCGTGCCCTGGGCCAAAGGCAGGCGCCAGACCGCTGCGCCACCCAGGGATCCCCTAAATAAATAAATCTTAAAAAAAGAATCCCTGTCTTACAGGGCCCGCGAAGATCAAGTAATAGAAGGTACCCATCTAAGTTGTCATATAGCCCAGGATGCTCCTAGAGCCAGGTGGTTGAGAGAAAAGTTGCCAGGCGTCAGACAGACCTGGGTACGTTTGAAAGCCAACCCTGCCCAAACAATTGCTGTGCAATCTTGAGCAAGTGACTTAACCTATCTGAACTAATTTCGTCCTCAGTAAAATAAGACCCAATGTGAAGGGGTGAGCATTCCATTAACACTCCAGACTTTATAATATGTGCCTGTTTTGCATTCTTAGGACACTCTAAACTTGGCCATTGGGGGACTTATCACAGTTGTTAAATATCCCTTTAGACCCTTAATTTCTGCCTAGCTCAGCAGCCTGAGAACCCACCCAACACCCCCACCCCAGGGCACTGTGGAAGCAAAGCTGGTTTTGCTCATCATCATAGCCCTAGAGTCTAGCAGAGTGCCTGGAGCAGAGTAGGTGCTCAACAAATAGTCATACAAAAATCACAGAGTGTAACACAGCTCGGCAAAACAGCACAAGGCAGACCTGGACACATAATGAGCAGCAGCTACCACAAATTTTCCAACTTATGATGGGGATATGTCCCAATAAACCCACTGTGAGTTGAAAATATCATTAAATATCAAACATGCATTTACTCCAGCTAATCACGACCAACATCGTGGGCTTAACCTAGCCCACCTTAAATGTGAACACTTACACGAGCCTGCCGTTGGGCAAAAACCACCTGAACAAAGCCTATTGTG